GATATTATTTTAATCTAAAGATTTTCACAATATTCCTAAATAAAGATTTTTAATTGATTTTCTTTCTTTAAAATGAAGGGATTTATTAAATCTTAAATAAAAAAAAAAACCATTTTCATCCAAAACTATAGATAGCACATAATTAATTGATACCAATTTATAGGCGTTATATGTGTATTAATCTTTCGTTACTCGTAACCGACTTACGAACCCAATCCTATTTCGTAGATCAAATTATTTTTATAATAAACTTTAATCTATTTTATTGTTTTATTAAAAAGATAAAAATTTTTAGATGATCAATCACACCTTAAAAAAAATTGATAGCGACTTTCTATCTTTTTCTCGATTTTAAATAATTATATTTAGTGATAAAGTTTTTGTGAAAGCACTGATATGTTATGACAGCACTTCAAAACAGAATGTCCTTCAAGCTTTAGATCAACCCTGATGATTATTATCAAAACTGAAGTAAAACTTAGCCATACTTGCATTTAGGGATGGGAATTTAACCTGACCCCGACGGGTTCCGACCCGACCCGACCCTATGAGGTCGATTTTTATTTTTGAATTTCAGGTTTCGGGTCGAGTAATATTAAGAAATATTTGGGACGGGTCGGGTTCGGGTTCGGGTTTTAGGCATACCCGACCCGATATTATTAAAAAATTATTTTTAATTAATTTTTTAATTTTTTAATTATATATATTTATATAATGATATTTTTAAATATTTATATTTAAAAAATAATATTTTATATTTTAAAAAATAATATTTTATTAATTTCGGGTTGGGTACAGTTTACATAGTATCGAGTCAGTCGGGTTCGGGTATGAAAAAACAAAAAACTTTTTGGGTAAGGTCAGGATCAGGTTTATTAATGCATAAAGTCGAGTCGGGTTCGAAGCAAGCAAAACCCACCCCGAACCCGACCCGATGCTAACCCTACTTGCATTACTACTAACGTACAAATTAAATGCATTCACTTCAGATACAGGTAAATAACTTTAAAATGTCATAAACATGATTTCCAGCAAACTAATTGTGGATGATTGTGGACAATGTATATGAATTAAAACTAGTTCCAAGTTGTGCATTAAAGTAGTAGATTATGATACCCCAAATCATTCACAACAAGAAAAGAGGATCATATAACGTCAAATCCTGCTATAGTTAAGGTTTTTGCTGCAGTCTAAAGCTCTTGAATTTGCTAAGGATAAAGGGTTTAATTACAAGCATAGTACTTGAAGGGTTGCACATGTTTTAGCACAGCATGCACTTTGCATTGCAAAAGATGTGACATGGATAGAAGAATACCCAGAGAGTATTAGAAACATTATCACTGCTGATTGTAACTCCATTCATTAGTAACAAAAGTTCTTATTCAATTAAAGAAAAGAAAAGAAAGGGGTCCATACATATATATATATATATATATATATATAAATTCTATATGATCTAATAAAAATGTCAAATTAATAAACGACCCTGAACAAGGGAATTATCAGTTTATAACTAATTCATCTTCTTGTCAATTCGATCATCATAAACAAATTAATAAACGACCCGGCCATGCATACAATGAACTATATATTCAAGTGTTGCTAATTATGTAATTCTTCCCTACTAATATTCCACCATGATTACTCTGAAAAACAAAGTTACAAAGAGCTCAATTAGTTCATACAGTTGGAAAGATAACATGGTATCTTGATTTATTTGAGTTGCTGCTGTCAGAATTGAAATCCTTAGCAGTTAGATTCACATTACTAAATCACAAATAGGTAAATCTCTTATGATTTATTATGATTATCTGCCAATACAGAGTATTCAAACTGAAACAAAATTTTCATAAAAGAAAAAAACCTAATTTTGGACAATAATTTTGAAACTTCAAGAATAATTAAAGTGAAATAGAGTATGCTGTCATATTTTCATGCATACTTCTAATAAATTAACCTGCAAGGAAATGTGGTTGTCCTTGGGATTGATTTTCTTTTTCTTTGGCATGTTATCTGGATTCTTGGATTGCAGAAGATGAACCCCAATCCCATATCCAAACAATCTGTATAACAAAAATATCCACACAAATATAATCATAACCTGAAAAGAATTAAAATCAACCCAAGATTTCTTGCACTTTTCAGCATAATATTTTCAGAGGAAATTTCTTGAAACAGATTAAGATTGACAAGATGATCATTTTTTTTTCATTACCATGCTCCATCAAAGTCAAATGATTCAGGCCTCCTGATTGGAACAAACCCAAGAATATTCTGATAGAAATCCATGGATTCCTCAACTGATCTGCACACAAGGGAGATGTGGTTCAAAGATTTCAGGTGAAGAGGGTTTTCCACACTTTCTTTCATCTTCTTTTTTCCAAGAAAAAAAAAATATTTGAGCCACCTCGAAAGACAAACACACCAAGGAAGCTAGATGAAGATTTGTAATAGAGAGAATATAACTTAGAAAAACAGATAGATGTGAGAACCAGAGATCTGTTATTTGACAAACCAAAGAAATTAAACAAGGGATTCTGTAACTGAAGAAATGAAGGAGAGAAAGTCACGAAACTCCGCTTAGGGAAGCAAAAGAATTGGGCTTTATATATAGAGTGAAAGACTAAAGAGCCAATGGCAGCTCTTCATGCAAGCCACGTGTCCTATAAGAAGGATTACCGTGACACGGAGACACCACGTGCTGACTAGGATTATCACCAAGAACCAAAAAGATTCTGGTCATAGACACGTAAGCAGTTGAATTTTTTTTTCTATGGGTTCTTGTCGGACTTGATGGGTGCCTTTAAGTGTTTTTTTCTACAAAATTTGTTGGGTTTCATTTTTTCTTAATAATAAATGATTTATTTTATAAAATAAATAATATATATTTTAGTGGTTAAAAACCGGTCGAATGTTATATTATTTATCGTATATATAGCAATAAAAATAAATAAATTAAAAAACAACCATATGGTTTTAGCACGTCATATTTTCTTTTCTTTTTTTTTTACTATTGATTCTTAAATTTTTTTAATGCTAATTCATTTAAATTACAAAGCTTTTTAGATGATATATCATGCCATGTGACAATTGATATCATACTTGATGTTGATATTTTGTTATAGAATAATGATAAAGTGACTGAAATTTAAAAGAAAATCCAAAAGTTGGTGATTAATTAGTTACATTTCATGGTTAGATGATGGAAATAAAAAAAAAAAATCTAAGTTGGTTAAATCATCTTATAATTTATTCTAATTATAATAAAGAAATAATGACAGTAGAGATAAAATAAGGAAAATATTAAAATATATATATATATATATATATGATTGCTGACCGAAAATAAGATTGCTCCGCCATAGTAGTGGGATTGCTCTCTAATCTCTCTACAAAGGATTAAGAAAAGCTATAAAATTCCTCCACCACAGAAAAATACTACCAAGCACATTAAGCAAAACAATTGTGGCAATGTTTCAAGCCTAAACCACTTACTGCCTTCTCTTTTTCGGCAAAGGACCGAATTTTTCAGCAGGGGCAGATTTACCTTTTAGTGACATCCAATTGGAAAATAAAAGAATTTGAAGGAGAAATTTTTACCTAATATCCCCAAATTTTTTTATAAATACTTTTTTCGTGATAAGATTGACACATTTGTCGACAATTTTATATATATTACAAATGAACACCCAAAAAAATTTTGGATTTGCTGCTGTTTCAAGGGAAGAGAGTGTAGGGCTGTAGGAAACTCAGTTGTTTTCCCATCCAGAATCTCATTCAGTGAAGATTCAGGTGCTGAATCCTTTACTAATTCTTCTAATTAAAAACCTTCTTGGAGCCTTAAAATGCACTTCATAGAAGAAACCAACCTCAATTTCTTTAATAATTTAAAGAGCATTTGATTCGAAGTAATTTTTTTCTCAAATTTTTACTTTTTGTAATTTGATATTTTGGTTTGATTTATGAAAATTTAATTATTAAAATTTTTTAAGATTTTCAACAATGTTAAAAAGTGAAAAAATAGGAGAAATAAAAAACTCTACTCTTCATAAATTTTTTTAAGAATTCAAAGGTTTAATAAAAATAACGTTTTTAAAATAAAAAACATGAATTTTATTAAAAATATAAAAGATTTTATTTTTCAAAATTTAACAAAAACGATGCTTTAAAATAAAAACTATAATCTTTATTAAAAATGCAAAATTTTTAAGATAAAAATACAATCTTTGTGTAAACATAAAAAAAATATATTTTTTAAAATTTAACAAAAATAATATTTCATAGATAAAAAATATAACATTTATTGAAAAGCAGATGTTTTTACAATAAAAAAATATTTTTTATTAAAAATATAAAAAATATTTTTTTTAAAATTCAACAAATATAACTTTTCTAAAATAAAAAATACAATTTTTGTTGAAAATATGAAATACATAGTTTTCAAAATTCAATAAAGACATTTTTAAAATAAAACGTAACTTTGTTGAAAAAAACGACGTTTTTAAAATAAAAAAAAAGTAATTTTTATTAAAAACATAAAAAATATATTTTTTAAAATTCAGTAAAGACAACGTTTCTAAGATAAAAATACGATATTATTGAAAAAACATCTTTTCTAAAGTAAAAAACGTAATCTTTGTTCAAAATAATAAAATATAAATATAAAATATTTTTATTTGATATTATTATATATAAAATTTAAAATATGTTTATTTAATATTATTATACAAAATTTTTCCCAAGAGCCAAAGAAAAATTTATCACCCCCTTCCAACTCCCATATTGACCTTACCTCGAAAGTCAATCTGCATATTTTCTCTATATAAGGATAATAATGTTAAGATAATAATTAAAATTATAAAATTATATTTGTTAAAAATTTTAAAAATTATTTAGTTTTAATGAAAATGTGTTATTCACATTTCACGTATTATTCAAGTATCAATATTATGAATGTCACATGTTATTCATTTATTATCAAAAACAATATAATAAAAAACTTTATTAGGGAATTTTATATTATTGTGAACCACGTACAAAAATCTTATATCATCTAAGTCAACAAAACCCAGGAACCACGCATTCTTCTTCAATATCACTTTTTTTTTTAATTATTTTTTTTCCGAAATCTAAGAATCTGCGAACCAAACGTCCTTCAACGGCCAACAGAAAACATCATTAGAGAATGCCTCCAAGTGCACCTTCCAATCCTGCACAATACAAAAGGTACCAATGATCTTAAAATTAAAAAAAAAAATGTCGTGTCTAGTGGTATCATAAAAAACTTCCACGAGAAATATAATTAAATCTTAGTTGCTCTGTTATGCATCTTTCTTTAGAAAAGAGTGATACCACTTAAGCAAGCAGAACCGGCCACTTAACCCAAAATGATAAAATATGGGAAACTCACTGATTTAGCGTCCAATCAGTATTTAATTAGAAAGAGTTTTCCATCTTTCCGTGGCCATTCTATTCATCATTCAAGCTGAAACATTTGGTAAAGTCATAGGCCTCAGAATCCAAGCATCAACACATCAAAACTTGGAATTTTGCTCAGGTAATTTATCATATACAGAACAGAATATTTTTAGCCCATTAAGAACCAATATGAAAAATGACATATGAAAACATGCATTAGCAGGCACAGAATACAAAAATTATGGTTCATAAAATTTAAAACCTAACATAATGAATTGCCAATGCTGTGTTGACAATGTTCAAAAGCATAGCTCTAAGAAACAAAGATAACAATTCATGTTTATGGACCATCAAATACCATTCGCATGCTTCATGGATAGACAAGAGGAATTGCGATTGCAAAACAGTTTAACAAGCATCTTTCATTGTACAAAAAGAAAATAAAAGTTGCAATCAAAGGAGCTCCATGTGCAAAGAACAACATATATCAATAGAGAGACAGAGAGACAGAGAGTAATTGCATGATGACTTACAAGAATTTGGATTTCTGCTATCCAATAGATTTCTCTTTCATCATGGACATATAGAGGTGGCACAACAAATTAATTCAAGAAAAATGAAATCTGCCTTCACTTTGATGTTAACCATAAAAATCAATCTCCAATTAGTTTTGTGAAACTAAAACTGCTTGGAGCAAAAGAAATATCAGCTTCCTTTAAGCAGTGGTTTTACATTAATCAAACTGGTCCTTTTTCAATCTGTCATTTTAATTCAAGTCTTCGACAAAACTGATTGCAAAGAATCCAATTGAGCGGAGGAAAAAGGTGGTATCCGATTCCTAACCAATATCATTATCATCTTAGCCTTACCCAGTTGCCCATTTTTCATTAGGCCTTGAAGCAGTGAATAAATAGTATCCACATTTGGAAACCAATTCTTTCTCATGCATCCTTTACACATTGTATAGGCCAAATTATAATCCCCTCCCTTGCAGAGATAATGAATCATGGTCTGATAAATCTTAGCATTAGGCTTATACTCACTACGACATTCTAGAGCAGAATAAACCCTTTTAGCCATTTCAAAATAACCAGCCTGGCAAAAACCTTTGATTACCAAATTGTAAGTAACCTCATCAGGGTCTATCCCAATTTTCTGCATCAAACGCATCACATCATTAGCTTGCCATGCTCGCCTCCTATTAATCAAATACTGGATCCTAACATTAAAAGTTGCAAGATTAGGTCTGCACCCCTTAAACACCATAAGATTCCACAACCCGTTGCCAATCTCACACCGGTTTTTCTGATAGGAAGCTGATATAAGTGTTGTGTACGTAATGACATCTGGCTTTATCCCCAACTTTTCCATCTGTACCATGACCAAATATGCTCTATCCAGAAAATCCATTTCGCAAAATGCCTTGATAACTATATTGATTGTATATGTATCCAATTCAACATCAAATTTTGGTGGAACATCGGAGAGAAATGCCTCAATAGCTCTTAAATCATGAGTTTGAATCAAAACCTTAAGTGCAGCATTGAAGGATTTAACAGTTCTTTTACATCCATACAAATGCATATCATAAAAAGTATCAATAGCATGCTTTATCATCCCAGCGTTACCATACAACATTATAATCCTCATAATGAAGCCTTCACGTCTACCCTGTGGAAGAGTTTTCTGGTGCTCAAGTAAATGCTCAATTAGATCAAATCGGCGAGCTCCAGCTAAACGAGAAACTGTATCTTCAAAAGCAAACCTATTTTCAATGACAAGTTTATTGTGGGCATTAGCCTTGAATAAAGCAAATAGCTTATCAGGGTCTCTTTCATCTTTAAGCTTGGAAAGGGCACTTTCTTGTAAAAGTATTGTCTTTGGTGGTTGCTTTGAGAAAGCTGCACAAGTATCAGTTGTTGATGCAATGGCAGCAGGAGCAGAAGTAGCATGATAAAATCTGCGAATTGGTCGCAGAGATAACATGTTCTGATATCTTCTCATCCATATGACACCAATGTATCAAAATCTTGTTCATCCATTTAACAACAAGGAGAATCCCAGAAACATGAACCCCGCCAATGAACAATAACTCTATAAGGACTTTCATCAAATAGAATCATACCCAGGTATTAAAACCCTTTATTCAAGGCACCATCATCAAAAAAATCCTCAAAAATAATACCCAGCTATTGAAAATAGAATCAAATACACTATCTTGAATAAAATGAAGAACCCAGAAACAAGAACACCCAGAAACACAGATTAACAGGCGCTAATTACATCAAAATGAAAAAAAAATCCTTTGATCAAAAGTCAAGAGCACGAAGAAATGTTTACCGAAAAAATTAGAAGGGATCTGAAAGAAAGCTCATCATTGCTCTCCGCTGGTTATGGTGGTTGTTGTTGTAGGCTTCGAGGAAGGGTTTATGGGGTTTAGATTTTGCCGTTTTGGTTGGGGAAACGATTTTGTTTTAGTCCTTGAGAGTAAACTCCGGGGGAGGCTGTTTATGGGCGCATTGGTTTAAAGGATCTGAATCCAGAGCCGTGGCTAAACATGGGCCTGAAACAAACAAAAATTAAAACTACACCAATAAATTAGATTTTGTTGGCCAGCTTTTTGCATATGATTAATTGTTTTTTTAAGAAAAATAAATACACGATGAAAAATTATCCTTAATCAAAAATTATCTTCGATATATTTATGAATATTATAAATTAATTAATCAATAAGTTAACTCATGTGAATTTCTTAATTTTGTTTGTCGAGTTTAAAATTTCCTCAACCAATATATAAAAATAATTAATTAATATTTTATTTTATTATTAAATAAAATGTATATTAGTTAATAATATGCATATTAAAATATTTCATATTCTACTTTTTTTTTATTATTAACTTATTCAAAAAATATTTTTCTAATAGAAATTAAAAGTGACTTTCATATATACCCAAACGGTATTAGATATACAAATTGCTGCACCAAATGGCTCTCCAATTCATGGATCCAAGAATGTTTTGTCAAACTGATCATTCAGTAGAAGGTTGTGCTTCCCAGTTTTCAAGTTGGACGATAGCAATATTTTTCCCATTCACCTTGGAGCATTCATCAAAGAATGTCCAAAGATCATGCATGGATCTATGATACAGCCTTTTTTTCTGCCCCCAAGTTTTCAGATCAATCTTTAATTCAGTCAGAAACATGGGAGCCATAGCTAAAAATACCATATATAAATAGAAACTAAAACCAGAGTTGCTGATGCCTGCTTCCCTGTCATTCTTTCTGCCTTAAATTATCAAATCATAACAAAGTATTCTGTTCTCAGTATACAAAAGCCAGGAATGACCAACACAAAAGAGAGAGTAGATGCAGTTGGCAATTGTAGAAGGATCCCCTTGGAGTTTGACCAGGCCTTAAATTTGCATCAGCTGTCAGTCTTTGGAAGTTATAACAAGCAACCCCAATGCCCCGATGAGAATATACTGCAATGAACAAACAATATAAAGTTTTTATGAAGAAAAAGATATTCCATGAGATGATCATTAATGTCCCCGCATGTTAGTAATTTTGGTATCTTTGAAAATGTTCCAAAATCATAAACAATGGATATTTAACCCAGCCACCCCTCCGCCACAATGTCTGATATAAATAAGAGTGAGACCAAGGCAATTTGAATGAATGGGGTAACTGTTTTTTGTTTGTGGTGCAACAGTAATGCAAAGATGCAGAATGCAAAAGGGAAAATCCCCAAGTTACAAGTAAACCTCATATAATTGTAGTCATAGTCATGACTCAAAAAATGTTCTTTAGCACACAAGGAAAATAGCTTTCTGGTTTAAGCAAAACCATGTCATATAGAAAACGAACCTTGATAATTGGCTTTTCAGTAATGATTATAGTCACCCAACCAACATAGGGCAAGAACCTGCAATTAAAGTAAGCAATTAGAAGTTTCATTTTTTTTTTTTTTGAGAAAACGGTACACTGCTTGAAGCATATGAGATTATCTAATTGTGCAGTACAAAAACCCTCAGGCTTGCAAGATCTTTCCCATAACTCCCAAAAGCCAATATAAAGTCACAACAACACCAACACCATTAAGGATGAAAAGGCCAATTGACACATACTAATATCTGAAACTTGGATCAAGTCTTTCCCAGAGAATAAAACATCATGTTCATGGACTGACATTTATCACTAGTAGCTAACATGCTTTCCAATCCAGACACTTGAGAGAAATCAAACTCCATTGCCCATTTTTACCTTGCCCCCAAAAGAAAGCCATTTCCTTAAGGAGGAGCAAATTCTCCTCTAGAATCCACAATTCCTCTCCTAACACTAAAATTGACCTCCTAGTATCCAATTTAGAGGGTGGTATTGCACATAGAAACACTACTGATTCAAATTGTAAAGAAAAGTAATACTAGTAATTCACAAACCTTTGCCCCAAAATGCCCTATGTCCATAAAAAGCATGTGTATGAGTGTGTGTGTGTGAATTCTTCAGACATGCTATGAATTTTGAAGATGGCAACACAGAATCACCAATCATCTGGCAACTCGTTGTACACAAAAAGAAAGGTTGAAATGCTACAGGCTTTACCCCACAGCTCTGCCCATGATATGGTGCCGTTGAAGCCAATGCTGACCTTGAGCATATAAAAGCCTGTCATCCCCAGGATTGTTGTCTCCTGAAAATGCACAGATAAGAGAAGAACATTTAAATACCAAACAATGCAATTCTGACAATTTAACAAATTTAATGTTTATTAAAATAAGCTGTTACCTTTGGTGAGGACATCAACTTCTCCAGTATCTTGTCTTTCATGGACCTACAATAATATAAAATATCAGAATTCATCAGATGCCAGGACCATGTTCATTGATCAATCTGCTAAAATAACAAAATAGAGTTCTTTTCTCATATAGTTTCAAAATAAAGATGGTGTAGAAGCTTTGTCAGGCATAAAACAGTTTTAAGAAAACAAAAGTTCCAAGAAACACTAGGTCATGGAAGTCAAGAATGGACATTATATTGACCAGCTAGCTCCGATGCAAAGATCCACAAGGAAGCATTAGCACCGAGTAATATTTTGAAACATAATTGTGGCAAGCTATAACAGCAAGCAAAATCTCACACCATAAAAATTTTGACAAATCATAATTCCACAAAATAAAAATGTAATTTTAGGAGTGATTGCATCTTGATGATAATACATAACAAAGTTGGGGAAAAAATAATATAATTCATGAAGGAAACAAGAAAACAAACAATTTACCTCACAAATACATCAGAAACATATGAATCCCAAACAAAAAAAAACAAAGAAACCGAAAAAGATACAGAAAAAACAAAAAACAGTTCAACAAAAATCAATGAGTTCAGATTTGCATGTGCTGCTGCAATATTATGATACAATCACCATGTTTTCAACTAGTGAGTATACCAGTTACTGCAATTTGATACTTGCATATAGAATAAGTGATCTCAAATTATTATTATCTTTCTAACACAGCCCTCCTGACAATTCGGACACTCATTAACAGCTGCCCCTAGAAAGCAGATAGAAGCTTGGTTGCCAATGCTTTCTCATTCTCTGTGCCCTTTAAGTTTTATCTATGCAAATTAGCTTCCGAAATCATTATCCTCAGACCATGTCATTTGCAACAAAAATCAGTCATCTAGTATCTATGACTAATCAATTTATCAATCATGAAGCAGTTGCTTGAGCAAATATATGTTCCCCACAAACTAACTCTTCCATGGAAACATATGCTTGTAAGCACACAATGCACGAAAACAGATATCAAATTATCAAATTACGATTTGGTGCTCCCATTCAATGGCAAGTGAAAATATCAGTTGCCGGTATGCATGAATCCCCAGATGTAGATGGTAACTTCAGTGCTTCAAAATCACTTGAAAATCACTTTTTCAGTCATAATACATACACCATACTCCAAGATCAATAAAACATGAGGATTAATTTATTAGAATTCTTACCTTAATTACACGATGGACAATAGGGATTTCACGGCCCTGAGAAATCCATAGTTTGAGGAATGAATTAGCAAAAGAGAATGAAGGCAAAAAGCCGCACCAACAATCAAAAAAACAAACATACAAAAACAAAGGCACTTACATCAACATTAAAAACAACAATCTCCCCTGCACGGATAGGTTCTTTACTCATGTGCAGGAACAAAATATCCCCCTGCAAATGATATAATCCTCATTAATTAAGACACAGAATCCAAACGAACAAAAATCATCAAACATGTCAAGTATGCTCATGGAAGCGATTGTATAACAAAATAACTTTCATTGTGATCTTATTACACGTCCAAAGCAACTCATATCAAATCAAATCAAATGTTTATTGGCAGATTGCTAACAATAACTAGCAGACTGCAGTTGCCACCAACCAAGTATACTCTTGCTTGCCCTAATTTAAGGTAAGATAAAAACAGGAGTGGATAGACATTGCCATGATAAGGACAGCATGCAAGGAAAGGCAAAAACTGATATGGATTTCAATGAAAAAAAGCTGTAAGCAAACATAAGTGATGCATGTTATTACTCAAAGCTTTAAGGTACATAACATAGCTCAGAATATATTCTAGAAAAAATAATAAATATATAAGGTGTAAGGTAGCGGAGTCAACAATCTCTTTGTCCTTTATTTGTAAAGGTTAGAATTTCAAAGCCATAAAATCTTCATTTTCAAAAAATCTTATGTTTCTTTCTAAAATAACTGGGTATAATCTTAACTTCTCCAAAAGAGAAGATAGCGGAATACCAGAGATGCTAATCTGAAGGACATGTTTCCATCTGACCGAATGGTCTTATAAAGAAAAATCGTATGGATGCAAACTCTCAGTAGCATAATTTCAAAGGAAAAAATAGCTCTGAAAATAAAGAATCCTAGCACATAGAAGAATAGCATATCAATGTAGACACCTAATTTTGTCCATGCACATTCTAGTCAATTGCAATGCTCTAAAAGTTAGGGCTTATGTCTTGACCAAGATTTTTTAAGATCTTTCGAATATTTCAAGATTTTTGAATAAGTTGATTTTTAGAGAGATGCAAGAAAAACAACAAAAAGTCAAGGGCAAAAATCAAAAGCCAACTTAAAGTTAACTTAGATAAACTTGTCTGAAATTAATTGATTTTGGTTGAAAGAGGGTCAAATTTGGGCATTTTAGTGGAATCAAACAATGTCATTGAGCTCCTAAAGGCTCTAAAACCAATTTTGAGTTTTGAGCAAAAATGGAAAAAATGACCAAAATACCCCTGATAAGGCCTCAAGTCAAAATTAGTCAAGATCAGCCAAGATTACTTGGAATTGGACAATTTTTGTCAAAGGACAATCTTTAGAAAGAAATTCCGTTTAAAAGAAACAGAATTTTGAATACATTTGCCCAAAATGCCCCTTGATCAAATTTGGTCACACTTGATCAAGTCTAAATCAACCTTTATAGTTTGTGATTGACTAAGACCATAAAGGCTCATTAGGAATAAAATTATGATTTGGATTCTTAAAAATCCTGATTGCACCTCAAATGAGGTGAAATTATAAAAATGCTCTTTAAGGGCA